GTAATTGAAAATTCACGCTGGGTGCGTGTGTGTGCGTGCCCTTAAAATCCAGAGAAGAGAATGGAGGCTAAGGGATTGTGGCATGGCCATCTCCTATGGGGGGGTGATACATCACTTTCTATTTCAGTGGCAAGTGCTGTGTCATACCAAAAATCTCAAACCAGTATATATTTCCTGTGCTATGTCTTTATCTTCAGATCATGTCTGTGTTGTACATACGCTTTAGAAATACTGCAAATTAAAATATTCTTCTTTTTGGAGGCATATAGGCAATAATTTTTTGTTGAGTTCTGTGAGGAAGCCAGAGAGATAGTTGAAAGCAATAAAAATCCGTAAGATGGAGGATGTTATTAAAAGTGGCCAGCATAATATCAAAGTAGTATGAGAAAGTGTACCAAAAGCAACAAAGGGACCTTAAGGGGCAAAAGAGGAGCTGAAGTGTGACCAGATGATGATCCTCTATGTAAGCAGGTAAATGTATATCGAAAATGGTATTGACAACACTGTTAACAAATTGTGAAAGGCAGAATGAAAACGTCAGAATCAAGGTTTAGTCATCCTTTTTAAAAATTGTCAACATATTGTTCCCATCTAGTACTGTATTGTCTTTACAGTTGTGCATAGAAATGTGAGACATTTTTTGTGTGTAGCATTTTATGTATACAGAGTTAATTTTTTTAATTTTTTTATTTTTGGAGAGGTTTTCGCTATAGGGTGCGTGCGTTAGCCAGACAGAAAGAGAAAGACAGAGAGACAGAAAGCGAGAAATCACCCCCCAGGGGGGATGGCCACACTGCAACCCCTTCTCCTCCGTTCTCCTCTCGGGATCTTGGGCACGCACATGCTCCTGGCGTGAGTTAATCCAGCGACACAGCCATTACACTAACTGCTGGTCCCCAGAGTTAAATTTAATCTGAGTTTAGTTGGCTTACATTTTTAAAGGTAGTGATAAAGCAAATTATAAGGTAGACTTGAAATTTACTAAACTTAGGGTGTTACTGCACTTGTTCTGTAAATTTTTTGGCATCTGATAATGTCCTACCTGTTGTCTTGTATTGCTTCTTCCCACTTCTGTATCAGTGGGTATAAGTAATTACAAATATGATTTAACCAGTGTGAATAGATGACCAAGTAAAGGACTAGTCCCTTGGCAAGCTCACACAACCTATAGCAAAAACTTCTCTTTTAAAAAAAAAGAAAAAAGAAAAAAAAAAAGCTTGTTACTCAGTATGTGTAGAATAAAGTAAAGGTTCACCCCGTTTCTTTTGCTACTGGCTTATATTCAAAAACTAACCTGTTCTCAGGACCAGCAGTTAGCATAATGGCTATGTCACTGAACTCTCATGTAGTCGACTGTGGTTTGCGTCCTGGACCCAGTGACTTAAAACTCCTGCCAGGTGAGTGTGTGTGCGTTCCCAAGATCCCGAGAGGAGAATAGAGGAGAAGGTATTGCAGCGTGGCCGTTCCCCCTGGGGGGGGGGGTTGATGTCTCGCTTTCTGTCTGTCTGTCTGTCTGTGGAGCACACACGCCCTGTATAGCAAAAACCTCTCCAAAAAAAATAATAACCTGGGACCAGCAGTTAGCGCAATGGCTGTATCGCTGGACTCCCATGTAGTCGACCGTGGTTTGAGTGTTGGACCCTGCGTCTTAAACTCATGCCTGGCGCGTGTATGTGTGTGCCCTAGATCCCGAGAGGATTGTGGCGTGGCCATCCCCGCTGGGGGTGATTTCTCGTTTTCTATCTCTCTCTCTCTCTGACAAGTGTACGCGCCCCACAAAGAACCCCCCACCAAAAAAAAAATAACCTGTTCTTTTATAGGCTTGTTTGGTGTTTTTATTGAGAGATTTTTGCTATATGACTAAGTGCTCACCAGAAGAAGAAATCCAGACATTATTCCATGGCCGGGGTGTGTGTGGGGGGTGTTTGTGATGGCCACCTGCCAATCCCTTTATTCTCCTGGGAATTTGGGCAGGTACATACATCCCACTGTTGTGACTTGACCTCTAACTCTGGGATTCCAGCGACTAACCATTAGGCCACCTGCTTGTCCCTCAGCTTGATTGCTTTTGATTTTTTTTTAAAGTGTGTCCAGGCAGTCCTTTCCTACCACTTAATCTTTATTTTTTTTTAAAAAAAGGAAAGAAGTAGGAAAAAATGACCTTTTCTGTTTACCCATAATAGTATTACTCTAGGGATTTATTGCATTATTCTGATTTTTATATTCTTAACTGTTTCTTTAATTGCCAGAGGATGCTTTTGCTTGAGAGAAACAGAAAGGGAAGGGATAAAATCCCTTCCTTGGGGGTGTGGGCATGTCACAGTCTCTTTTCATCTTCCACCTTTTATAATCTCTTCCATTTTATATCCAATTGGCATTTGCAGCATGCATACAATCGTACCCAGTGTTTTTAAAGTTAATGGGATGGAGATTTGAACTGTGGTCACCTCTGTGGGATCTAGTTCCCTTAACTGTTTTGCCATCAGGCCAACCCAATTTCTGTTAACTAAAAAAAAAAAAACTTAATGAGTTGTTAGAGCATAAAAGCCATGTATTCATAGAATAGAAAGGATTTTGCAGGGAAGATTCATACGTTGGGCTAATCTAATGTTCTGACAGGAAACTTCGCAGAAGTAGATAATACCATATTTATGGGAAGAAAATCTGGTTGAAGGATTTTATACTTAATGTACTGTACAACAAGAGTGCTAACAAAATACTAAGGCTTTATAAAGGCAAACTGTTATTAATAAGAACCAGTGTAGAAGTAATTTTTCTCAGGAATTTTTTCTGATGTATTAAAAGCTAGATGTAGACAATAGAATTTTAAGCATGAATAATACAGTGCCTATAGTCTTGTCAGAATTCATGTCCATTGGATTAAGCTTTTGGCCACAGATACTATTCCCAGGAAATGGGCCAGAAGAATTTGTGGAACTGTACTTAGAAAATGAAATTATGGCAAATCCAAACTGGGGACCTACAGGTCATATGCCCAGAATTCAACAGCTAAATTTGTTACTCTTTTTCTCTCTGCAAATGTATGCACTCTGTAGCAAACTAAAGTTTTTTTGTTTTGTTTTTGTTTGTTTGTTTGTTTTCTGAGAAAGCAAGTAAACACTCCCATTAGGGTGTTGATGCCATGATGCAGCCCCAGATTCAGCCAACCCTGAATCATGAATATGCATGTTGTAGGAATAATTGGGGGAAGTCTCCAAACACAAATGTGGAAACTTTTATTTTGGGGTTCTTGGATTTAGGTCTTTAAACACTGAGGTTACTTTCTTTGCCTCCCCCAGTTGGTGTTCCTATACAGGTTGACTATTTGGCCTTACCAGCTTTGAATTCGGTGGTGATTACCTTTACAAAGTTTTGTGTTGATTGCTGTCTTAAATTTGCCTCACTGCTATTTCGGTGAGGTTTCAGGGAAGCTACTTTTTTTCCCCAGGAGTCCCAGCGTTATTTCCAGTAGATTGATTGTTTTACATTTAGGGTACTGATCATCTTTGTTCCCTTCCAGGGGTTTCACTGATAAGGTATTTTAATAAGCAGACATAGAGTGAAGTGCTTTGAGATAATTTGGTTATTTTTTAAAACTATGAAATCTATAAAATAGACAGTGGTAATACCATTGTAATAAGCTCTCGTACTTGTGTATTTAACAGTCAAAAATGTTCAATGGAAAATGAATTTTGTAGTGACAGTTTTAATTTTTTTCAGATATATTTTTAGGAGTGTGGTTAATAGGTTGGCATTGCATCCACCTGACGCTACAGTAGCCCAAATCTTATTTTTAGTATAGGGCACATGCAGTTTCCAGTGACAGAGAGGGAAAGTAACAATCACCCCCCTGGGGAGGTGGACATGGTTCAACCCCTCTCCAGTTTCCTCAGATTTTTGAGCACACATGCACACTGACCTTGCATGATTTTTAAGCTGTTGGGTCCGGTACTTGGCCTACACAGTCGACCATGTAGGATCCTGTGTCTTAACCTCCAAGCTACCTAGTTACCCCAGTGGAAATGAATTTTATGAGTGTTACTCTTTAAATTCTGTTCTAGTTTTAGGGAGGATGAAATGTGAAGGCATAATAGACTTACAGAAAAGCTAAAAAAAAAAATTGAAACTATTATCTCTAATAAAGGATCTGAGTTGGTAATATCATGTGTCTCCATATAATTCTATTAGGATTGAGCCTTTATGACATAAAGAATAATTTGTTTAAATTGTCTGAGGAAAGTTATTCTGTTTCTTCGTCACTATGTTACTCTTTGGTCCATATGGTTTTTATTATTATTATTTTAATCATCATCACCATCCAATATTATTTAATGTTCCAGGTATATTGTAGATTGTTTCATACGTAAGTTTGTAGTCATAAAAAGATGGCATCAGTACCTACAGCATATTATAAATACATGGAAGTATGTGGAAATATTTCTGTAGTTCGTGACTATTTTTGCCTTTAGATAAGAAAGTTAATTATACTTGAATAATAAAGTTACATTATTCATATTCATCTCACCAACAAATGGTGTAGGCAGAATGTGGTGTTTGAATAATTTTGGATGGAATGTATGGGGCTTATTTTAATAAGCGGCTAGTAAGAATTACTGATGGCAGGGAATGGCGATCACTAATGGAAGATAAAAGCAGCTGAAAGTAGTTCGTAGGAGCTTAGGGTGTTCTGATTTACTTAACACTTAAAATACAGAAGGGTCACTCGGAATTAATGTTTAGAAGAAATGTGTTCCCAAAAGGGAGGAGGATATATTTCCCTCCTCTTGAGAAATGATCTGATTCTGTTGGAATAAAATGGAGGGGACAACACTGAATTTCTTTTAAGGGTATATTTAGGTCTCTAGTTGGTAAAAAGCATATACTTTCAACTTTAAGTTGACTAGTAGTCTAGGTAAGTTACAGTAGATCACAGTTAGAAAAGTTTTATTAACAAATACTGTCTTTGATGTTTACCAGGATGTTTTTTTCTTTCCTTACAGCTTTTTGGCTTTGTGAGGAATCTTACCATCAGTCGCAATGGCCAGCAATGTTACCAACAAGACAGATCCTCGCTCCATGAATTCCCGTGTATTCATTGGGAATCTCAACACTCTTGTGGTCAAGAAGTCTGATGTGGAAGCAATCTTCTCGAAGTATGGCAAAATTGTGGGTTGCTCTGTTCATAAGGGCTTTGCCTTCGTTCAGTATGTTAATGAGAGGAATGCCCGGGCTGCTGTGGCAGGAGAGGATGGCAGGATGATTGCCGGCCAGGTTTTAGGTAAGATGGAATTGGTCGAATTTTTTCATTAATGTAATTTATGCCTGGGTTTTCCTGTACACTTTTCTTTTTTCTCTTTGTAAATCTAATAGTCTGAGTGTTGTAACTGTGACAACAGTGTAATAAAATGCGTTAGGCTTAATGTGCTAAGTGAAGGATATTATGGTATCTTTGGTGGTAGAAGTTAGACAACTCTTTGATTTGGCGTTCTGATATAAGATAGGGTAGTGAAGATTGATGTATCATACTGCAGAGATGTTACCTAAATGACCATAGCCTAATGCTTACAGTAGACTTGGGGGAAAGAATATATTGTAGACATTATATAGGATTTGAAGTCATACTGCTTGATCCTGTATTAGAGTTTCTTAATGTGCATTTGGCTGGGAAGCATAGCTTGGCCAAATCTTAATTTGTTGCTTGTTAAAATAGAGATAATAGGGGACCAACAGGTGGCACAGTGTTTAAAGTGCTGGACAATCCCACGTGGTCGACCTCCGTATGAGTCCTGGAACTGGTGGCTTGCTTTCTCACTTTCTGTCTCTTTTTGTCTGGTCAAATTGAAAAAAAGAAAGAAAAAAAAAGAATAAATGAATGAGAAATAACCTTCAAAATAAATAGTTTTTAAAGATGGAGATACAATAGCACTTCAGAGTACCTATCTATAGGCTTACCTGGAGTGATAGTATTTTGAGGGTAGTCAAGAGAATGTAGATGAATTGAGAGGATTGATTCAGAAGAAAAGCTTCTAGTACAACCCCTTCTAGTCTATAGAAAAGGTACAACGATTAGTTGCAAAAACATTCACAGGAGATTTTTATATTTGTCTTTCTACTCCCAAACAACGGGAAAGCTTGGAATATACAAAACTTTCTCATGTAAAATGATCATAAAAAATGAATTAAAGCAAGTTTTATGAGAGTCTTAGAATGAATACATTATGTGATTCATTATGATGTTTATTATTTTCTTTTCTTTTTTTTTGCCTGACATAAAAGTAGAAGAATTTGTGATATCTCATCTGGAGGCAGTTAACTTGGTAATGGCGCTACACTCCACGATCAATCAGGGTTTGAGTCCTGGACCTAGTGACTTGGCTTTCTCACTTCTCTCTCTCTCCCCGGTTAAGTTAAAATTGATAATTAAGTATTAACAGCAGAAGGAAATTTTAATAAAAAATTTTTAAAAATTGAACTTACCACACTTCATAATTTACAGAAACTTTTATTTTAAGAGAGATTTTTGTTATATGGCTTGTGCTCAAGACAGCAAGAAATTACCTCTAGGGGCTATGGCCATCCTGCAGTCCCTTCACCTCTCGGGGTGGACAACCTACAATCTCTTCTTTATTCTCTTGGATTTTGGGCATGTACATCCTTGCACCCGGCCTGGGGCTTGAGCCATGGTCAAGTGCATGGGAGTCCAGTAACATAACCTTGTTTTTACCAATTAACTCATTTTTCTTATCTCTCTTTTGCTTTCTGGCGGTACATGATATCCAAGGTCACCTGATGACTTTTCCTGAGTTGAACTTGATGTTTTATACTTTTTTCTATATAAAAAATAAAATTTTGCCAGGGTGAATATGTGCTCATTAAAGAGAGGAAAGTGAGAAAGAGCATGAAAAGGCACCCTTCATGGGGTGTAGTCACACCTTAAACCCTTTTCCATTTCTCTTTGGACTTTGCTGTCCCTGGCATGTTCCTGTAAACCTCATGGTCCCAGACTTAGAAGAATTGGGCTAAAGACTGTGTGCAGTAAAATTTAGATTACTGCATTTTATTTTATATTTGCAGGTTTTGTTTTTTTGTTTTAGAATTTATGCCCTTTATATATTGACTCAGAAGTTTGGTAGTGTAGAGTTGCTTCTGGGATTCCTTGATAATATGTAATTAACATGATAGTTAATGATTCTATTGTTTCATTTTGTCTTTTGCATTTTTATATCCTTAAGATTTTTCTAATTTTTCAAGAGGAATTATTTAATTTTGTTTTCTATTTTTAAAAATTTGTTTTTGGACACATGCACTCAATCGTGAGAGAGTGAGAGAAAGCCACCAAGTCCAGAACTGTCTTTTTTTGAAAAGTTTACTTAGTTCCAAAGTCAAAATTATTAGACAGACATTAGATGACAGTAGAAATCAGGAATATGTTTATTGAACTGATAAATCTGAAGGTTTGCATAATGATGCTTGACCGACATATTTTTTTGTTTGTTTGTTTTCAGTAGGTTATTTGATACTGAGCTTCAGAAAGTTACTGAGTTATCAGTTTTCCTGGAAAACAAGGTCCCAAGTAGGAGCTGAGGGTGAAGGGGATACCAAAGACAAACGTAGTTTGATCTGATGACTACTTTGGTACAGAATAAAGTATAAAAAATTGTAAACTAAACACCTGAGCTTTAAGAGATTTTTGTTACAGAGTGTGTGCAATCACCAGAGAGACGGACAAAAAATAATCATCCGCCCAAGGGGAATGGCCACATGCCACAGTCACTTTTCCATCCTCCTTTCGGGGGCTTGGGCAGACTCATGCATGCGCTGTATGAGTTTTAAGTGCCAGATCTGGGACTCGATCTGTGGTTGCTCACATGGGAGTCCAGCAATTTATTCATTACACGCTCTACTAATCCCAGTAAGATACCTTTTTAGGCAGTTAAGGATTTACATGAGTGTGTTCTTCTAAAAGTATTTATGGTTTGACATTTCTACCTACACTGTTGTCATTAAAACTTTTGTTCTATTTTTTTGCAGATATTAATCTGGCTGCAGAGCCAAAAGTGAACCGAGGAAAAGCAGGTGTGAAACGATCTGCAGCGGAGATGTACGGGTCAGTACCAGAACACCCTTCTCCGTCCCCTCTACTCAGGTCCGGAACTTTATTATTTATAACTGCATTGTGTCCATCAGTGGGCATCTTCTCTATCTGTTTTCTGGTTGGGGGGAGGGGGTTAAATGTTATGTGTTATATTTGTGTACAAATAATACTTTGTTAATTTTGAGTAAACGTGATTCCTATTCACATTTTTAAGATAATAAATAGAAATCCCTGAGATTTTGCTGTTATAAAGAGATGTTTTATATTAATAATTTAGAATTGCTTATTTAAGAAGCTGGGGAATAAGAAAGGGAATAAGGGCAGAATAGTAATGTTTAATTTACTGTTGTATATTTAGTTTTATTTGAGTTGGTAGATTGTTTTGTGAAAATTTAGAGAACTTTCACCTGAATTACAAATTACCCACTGCTTGTCTAGTGGTCTAAGGTGATTGGTTTTTAGTGATATGTTTTAAAGGTTGGGGATTATACTATGCTAATCTTTTTTATCTATTTATTGTGATTGGTTTGGCATGTTTTTTTCCCCCATCTGCTTTTGTGAATTAACATCAACAGTTCTGAATTAATCCTTTTTGGTATTTTTTTTTTCCAGCTCCTCCTTTGATTTGGACTATGACTTTCAACGCGATTATTATGACAGGTACGTTGAAGGTATTTTGTATATTCTGACAAAAAGCTAGTAAGAACCATTTATAAATGTTGTAGGAACAAATTTGTTTTTTGAAGTAGCGAGTGCTAAACACGTGTTCATCAAAAAGAAAACAATAATACTTTGTTCCAAATTTTCTTGTAGACTAGATATGGTCACATTTCTGTTGATTTGACATAATCAGGTCATTCGTTATAGGGATATGTCAGTTATAAAGTAAGGATTACTGGCTTAATGGTAAAATGAAAATTAGTGGACTTTTTCACTTTTTTTTTTCCCATTATTCTTTGATATACTTGCCTAAACTTAGCCTGCCTTTTTATTTATTTATTTTTTTAAAGAATTCTTTTATTTTATTTATTTGTTACTAGTTTTTTTAACATGACCAAAATAAAGAGGGAAAGTAAGAAAACAAGCTCCTAATTCTGGGACTCAGACCCACAGTTAGTTTAGTGGACTTTTTCCCTTTTTTTTTTCCCATTATTCTTTGATATACTTGCCTAAACTTAGCCTGCCTTTTTATTTATTTATTTTTTTAAAGAATTCTTTTATTTTATTTATTTGTTACTAGTTTTTTTAACATGACCAAAATAAAGAGGGAAAGTAAGAAAACAAGCTCCTAATTCTGGGACTCAGACCCACAGTTAGCCATGTGAGAGCCCAGTATTCCAGTCACAACACCTGAGGTAACCTTAGCTTAGCTTTTTAGGGAACCACTGCAACACTATTTAAACTTAATCCCATAATCAATAATGCTATATCTCTGGACAGTAGCAGTGTAACTGCATATTGAGCAGTACCTAACTTGGCCTACTATGGCTCAAATCCCTATCATGGCTGCTTGAAAAGCATTTATGTGAGATAGAGAAATGAAGTAAAAGGATTGTGGCATGACTAATACCCCATTTTGTAGTGCTTGCTTATTCAGTCTATCTCTGGTGAGCTCATAACACCCTGTTGAAAATCTTTGAGCAAACCAGCTAATAAAATAGAGTTGAATTAATAATACAAGTTGCTTGAATAGTTAAATTTTGTATAACAGATTAGACTGATGTAAAGGGATTGGCTTTCAATAACTGAGTTAGGCTGATTGCTGTTCAAGTCACAGTTCTGGCGGCTTGCTTTCCCACTCCCTCCCTCTCTCTCTCTGGTCAAATTGAAATAAATGAATAAAATAATTCTTTAAGAAAAAATTTTAAAAAATAATTGAGTTAGGTAGCTAGGAGGTAGAATTGTACTTAAGGTGCTGGACTCTACCATGTAGCCGACCATGTTGCAAGTCCTGGACGGGGTGCCTTGAAACTCACACAAGTGTTAGCGTAGTCATTGCCTGTAGTCCAGGCTAAATTCGTTTTCTGACAGCAGGTGTATGTACTCTATAGCAAAAATCTCAACAACAAAACAAAAATAATAGAATCAGAACAGGAACCAACAGTTTGCGTAACGGATATGCCACTGGACTCCCATGTAGTCAACCGCGGTTCACGTCCTGGACCCGGTGACTTAAAACTTACGCCGGGTGCGTGCGTCTGCGTGCGTGCTCAAGATCCGGGAGGAGAACGGAGGAGAAGGGATTGCGGTGTTGGCATCCCCCCTGGGGATTGATTTCTTGCTTTCTGTGTCTTGTCTGTCGAGCGCACGTGCCCTATAGCAAAGAAAAAAAGAAAGACAAAAATAATAGAGTCAGAACAAATGTAGGATTTAGTTTTTAGGGAATCAAATTATAAGTTAATGTTAAGTAACCCTGTTGGGGATGGGGGTATGTTTCATGGAAATTGTTTGTGTAGTCCTTGTGCTTGTGAGCATGTAAAGAGCTTTCACGTTTTCAATATCCTTTTCTCAACCTGGCCTCTTCTATACCTTTAGTCTAGATGTAATGTCACTGGGACGATTAGGTGACATGGTGGATAAGGTGCTGGAAACCCCATAACTGACCAGGGTTGGCTTCCTTGCTTTCTCATATTCTGGCGCACACTCACTCTCAATCTCCATCCCTCCTAACCCCCTCCTCCTCTGCTGAGACCTCATTCACTCATTCTTATAGCAAGTATTAAGTTATAATAACAAATTTAAATTAATTTTATTTTTTCACAATTAGCACAATAACATTTTGGAAACAGTCTTAATACAAGAAATCTTTAGGTTTATTTGATTTGCTATTTTGGAAACTATGTAGCATAGGGGCCAGCATTTGGCGTGTTGGTAAAGGACTCTCGATTCCCATATGGTCAACTGCTATCAAGTTCCAGACCCAGCAGCTTGGTTTCTCAATTTGTTTGTCTTTCCCTCCCTCCCTCTCTTTTCCCCTTCTCTGCTCAAATTAGAAGAAATAAAGTAAAATAAAATTATTTTTAAAATTATGCAGTATAGGCCTAGAACATTTAAATTATGCAGTTTTTCTTCCTTGTGAGGCATACTTAACACCTGTTTAGTCATGGCTAATATTCTGGTCATTAATGTATGTAACAAATCCGGTGAATCAGTTGTTCTTGAGAGGTTTTTACTACTATAGGGGCATATAGGACACTTGTGTTTGCCAGAAGGCGAGAAATCACCCCCCACCCGGGATGGCCATGCCGCAATCCCTCCTCCTCTCGGGATCTTGTGCACACACGCACATGCTCCCAGCGTGAGTTTAAGCCTCCAGGTCTGGGACTCGAACCACTGTCAACTACGTGTGAGTCCAGCGACATAGCCATTACGCTAACCGCTGGTCGCAAACTGCTGGTCCTTGGACTTTTTTTAAGAGGCAAAGTTATGTTTCTTTAGTAATTTGTTGATAAAGTGCTTGGTGTTTTCAGAAAGGGCAGGAATAGCATTGTTTGCACTCTTCTATTAACCTCAACTGATTTTTCTGGTAACTTGTATAGCAACTGGGAGTTGTTGGTCAAGATCTGACTGAACTAGAGTTCGACATAAATTGTGGGAAAATGCGTGTTGTTGCATCAAGAGAGAACCACGTGTTGGGTCTTAGATACCTTAAGTTTATCTAAGTTTGGGGATTCTGTGTATGTCTTTATATAATAGATGTGGATAAAACAGAGTTCTTTCATTAAGACAAAAAGCGGTAAATACAGTCAATTTATTTGTGGTTTGGGAAATAAAATAGTCACTTTTTTTTTAAAGAGAGATTTTTTGGTATAGGGCTCATGTTCTTACCAGAGACAGAAACTGAAAGTAAGAGATCATCCCCCAGAGGGTATGGCTATTCTTTAATCCCTTTTCCTCCATTCCTCGGTATTTTGGACATGCATGCACATGTGCTCAGCGTGAGTGTTAAGCTGCCCAGTCTGGAACTCAAATCCAGTGAGCTCTGAAAGAGCAGTGTAATCATTTCACTATCTGCTTCTTCTTAAAACAGTCTCTTAGTGTGTGCTGTAGTTACCTCGAATGTTTATGAGGTTTAAATCAGTGATGTTCTTGAATATCCTGTGATCATAACCTGAAAAAATGAGATTTACACATAAATGTTACAAGTCATAAATTGGGTATTTTTTAAGAAGAAAGGCTGGCAGGTAGCTTGGTAGTTAAAGTTCAGTTCTTCACATGGACGACTGAATTGAGTTCTGGACCTGATGTTCTTGCCTTATTCTATCTCTTCTGTCAAAGTTAAATGAATGAATGAATCAAATGAGTAATTTTTTTAAATTAAACCACATTTGGTGTTTAAGACCATTTCTTGATATCAAGCTTTCTGGAATAGTAAATTCTGTTTTTAATAAAAATGTCTATTTTTACTTAATAATTTCTCTCATGAGGTATATCCCTATTTTTATTTTAAATTTTCTTTATTGAGAGAGATAAAAGCTTTCTCTCTTTTTTTTAAAGAGATTTTTACTATAAGGCCAGTGCCCTCACCAGAGAGACAGAAAGCAAGAAATTATCCCCCTAAGGGTATGGCCATGCTGCAATTTCCTCTCGATTCTTTTTTTTGTGTGTGTGTGATTTTAGGTACACAAGCACATTTACTTGCCATGTATTTTAAGCTGCTGGATTCAGAACTTCAACCCAAAGGTAGCCATTACATAGCAGAACAACTGAGAGAGCTGAATCCTTATTACTCAGTGGGACTCAAAGCCATTTTATATTTATTGTATAATCTTAGTTCTCATCCCCAAAATTAGAATTACAATGTTTGTTGTTAGGGTTACTGTAACTACTCAAAGAAAACCTAAGATAGGCATTTCGAAAGACCCACGAACTCTTATGGGAATTTTCTATCAATCATGGATTCCCTATCAGTTTAAAGCATGATAGTTCATTTTTATTAAATAATCAAAACATGTATAGATTCACTTCATGCCCAAGATACTAATTTTTTGTTGTTGTTATAGGGGGGCATGCTATAAGGGGAGAGAGATTAAGAGCCCCCTGTAGGGTGGAGGTTGCAGGAGGCACTTCCTGTCTCTAGTGTTGCGCAGCCTGTAGGTGGCAACAGAGGGTGGAAAGGACTAAGACACCTCACTACCCTGAGTAAACCCACTGAGCCTAGTATGGCTGTTGGCTGCTAAGATCAAGCGGGCCTGAAATCTCCGCCTTTTGCAACCAATCCCTGTACCCTGGCTGGCCACACTTGCAGCTCAACCAGCTGGCCAGGAAGCCCTGTCCCTGCTTTCTTTTTTCTTTTTTTGAGTGATTTTAGTATAGGTATCGAGCATTCCCCAGAGAAGGGAAGGAATTAGAAAACACTGCCTTCAGGCAGATGGCTACAGTGCAATTCCTTTTCTCCTCAGGTTTTTGAGACTCATGTACATAGGCCCCCAACATGATTTTTTAGCCACTAGATGTGGGGCTTGACTCGCTTTCAGCCAGGTGAGAGTACAGTTCCTTAAACATTATGGCAAATTATTGTCACTGGACTCGGATGTAGTCGACCATAGTTCGAGTCCCAGACCTGGTGGCTTAATCTCATGCTGGGTGTGTGTGCGTGTCACCAAGATCTCAAGAGAGAATGGAGGATAAGGGATTGCGGCGTGGCCATCCCCCCTAGG